CAGTCCAGCTTCTGTCCAGCTTCAGTCCAGCTTCAGTCCAGCTTCAGCAGTGGTTCTGGACTGTGTTCACACACGGCTTCTTCTTCACTTGTTTTATATTTTGCACAATGTCCCAACTTTTTTAGAATTAGACTTAAAAGCACGTTTTTACCATTTTTATAGAACTTTAACGTCAGCCACTCATTTACAGTGAAGTTCTGTTCAGACCTGCTTTAACGTGTTTCTGACCGATGGGGGTACCATCAAGTCCAAGGTTGACTTGTCTTGAGGGATCAGGTCTCTGTTAGCAGTTCTACATGAACACAGTTCCACATCTCACAGACTGTTCTGTGGTTGATCCAGAACATTGTGGAGCCACAGAGAGTCCAGCCCATGAGGACCAGTGAAGGCAGACAGAAGATTCCCACCAGACCTAAACAGGGTCTGAACAGGGTCTGAAGAGGGTCTGAACAGGATCTGAACAGGAGTCAGTTTTTTTCCAAGGACTTTCCTCTAACATCTTTAAAAAATCCTGACATTTAGAACTTCTCCCAGATCTTCAGCAGTAGCTTCTTTGAGGGCTTCAATCAGTACTTCATCAGGTCCTGGTTTCTCTTCAGATCCTGGTTTCTCTTTAGGTCCTGGCTTCACTTCAGGTCTGGTTCTGACTTGTGGCGTATGGATGTTGCTTCAGCAGGTCACCTGTTGGTCCTTCTGTGTGAGGACATGTTGCTCTGCTGTTGGAGCAGGAAGGACAGACGTCCAGCTGTCTCACATCCAGTGGAGGACACGTGTATATGTCCACAGACCTCACCCCGAAGAACCAAAGCCACTGACTGGTTTCCTCTGTCACTCTTTGGACGTGTTCCCAGCAGCTTTGTGTCCTCCTACCTGCTGCCTTAAAACCTGAATCCACAGTTTCAAGCTTTGGCTTCAACAAAATCATTTTACACAAACTTTACGACTTCGACTCAAATCTTTACGCCTGAAACCTCTCAACACGGAGACGTATTTAGTTTAAAGACGATTCTAAACGTCAGATGTCACTTGTTCCCTAACACAGTGTATGTGATGGGTTAATCAAGGTCTGAGCACCCCCCCCCCCCCCCCCCCCGCCCCCAAATGCTGGACCGAGCTGCAAATCTTCTAAAAACACAGAGGCTCTGCCATTCTTCTCAGCTTTAGCTGCATAGTCCCATGGCCTGCAGAGGTTGCCTGGACGCTGCAGTTCTTCACCTCAGGACGTCCCAGCTGGTGACGCCTTACTGGTTCTGATTCACAGCGTTGACGAGACGGGCTCCGGCTCTGATCGGAGTTTTTAAAGCTCCAAATCACAGACGAGCATAATTAGTGAGAGCACGTCTGAAAGTTTCACAAACACCATCCAGGATGTGAGGGTCAGCAGTGTATTACTGCAGATTTATGAACACCAAGGCCAGATTTGATGCATTCTTCTTGTTTTGCATGGAGATCTAAATGTTTCTTTTATGTATTGTTGTTGTATCCCTACGGTAAAGACTTCTTAATAACACTCAAACTTTGAAAATGTTACTCATTCTGTTTTACTATTAAGCAGTAGGGTGTGTGTGTGTGTGTGGGGGGGGGGGGTCCCTCAGGGCCTTCAACACCTTCAGTGAAGTCCTAAGAATGCAGCACATATGAAATATTACATTGAGATTTTTATTTATTTTATACAAAATAAATACAGTACTTTCAAATTATTATTTTTAGCTATTTTCCTTATTTCTTCTAAATTACTTTACAATTTAGCAAGATGTTTTTTAATTAATGAAAATACAATATTCATTCAGATTTTTTTATTTTTTTTGTCTCCAGGCAGAAACAGAAGGAGCAGGATTGGTTAGGACTTCACTGTCAGAAGAAAAGGCTGAACTCAGGCAGAGTCTCTCAGGGATGGATTGGTTTAATAACTGGGAGGAAAATCAACCAGTCAGATGCTGCTACAGGCAGGATGGAGTGGATGGAGAAAAGCTTCAGGAGTGATTTGTGACACAAATGTGTCAGCAAAGGTCAAAGGAAAAGTTTACAAGACAGTGGTGAGACCAGCTATGTTGTATGGTCTGCAGACAGAGACATGGACAAAAAGACAGGAGACAGAACTGGAAGTAGCAGAAATGAACACGTTGAGGTTCTCCTTAGGAGTGACAAGGATGGATAAGATTAGGAATGAGATCATCAGAGGTACAGCACAGGTTGAACAACTGGGAGATAAAGTTAGAGAGACCAGACTGAGTTGGGTTGGACATGACCAGAGGAGGGACAGTGGTTTGGACATGTCCGGAGGAGGGACAGTGGTTTGGGCATGTCCGGAGGAGGGACAGTGGGTATATTGGTAGAAGGATGTTAGAAATGCAGCTGCCTGGAAAAAGACAAAGAGGAGCTATATGGATGCAGTTAGAGAGGACATGGAGGTAGTTGGAGTGAGGACATAAGATGCAGAGGACAGAGTGAGGACAGAGTGAGGACAGAGTGAGGACAGAGATGGACGAGGATGACTCAGTGTGGAAACCCTCGAAGAGGGAAAAGCTGAAAGAAGAAGAAGAATACAGATATAGAGTGGGAGGGACCAAAACACAGGACTCAGAGCCTTCGGGAAGGCCTTGCAAAATTTTTCTTTGTCTGACGTCGTACTTGATGAATAAAAAGTGTTGAATGGTTCATGACATACTTAACTGTAAACCTGAATAAGGTGATGTAGTTGGACAGTTGGTCCCTGGAGTCTCTGAAGTTAGCTTCTAACAGGGGGAGTGAGGTACAACACTACATCCTGACTGAAGGCCCAGCTCTAATAGTCCTGGTTCACCACTGTTCAACACTCATCATGTCCCTTTCTTCCATCAGGTAACGCACTCCAGACATGGGTGACTGGAGTGCTCTGGGTCGTCTGCTGGACAAGGTCCAGGCCTATTCTACAGCTGGGGGGAAGGTGTGGCTGTCGGTCCTCTTCATCTTCAGGATCCTGGTGTTGGGGACCGCAGTGGAATCAGCCTGGGGAGACGAGCAGTCTGCCTTCAAATGTAACACCCAGCAGCCTGGTTGTGAAAATGTCTGCTACGACAAATCTTTCCCCATCTCCCACGTTCGCTTCTGGGTCCTTCAGATCATCTTCGTCTCCACGCCGACCCTGCTCTACCTGGCTCACGTGTTCTATTTACACAGGAAAGAGCAGAAACTCAACCGGAAGGAGGAGGAGCTGAAAGCTGTGCAAAATGATGGAGGGGACGTCGATGTCCCGCTCAAGAAGATCGAGCTGAAAAAGTTGAAGTATGGCATTGAGGAGCACGGCAAAGTGAAGATGAAGGGGGGTTTACTTAGAACCTACATAGTCAGCATTTTCTTCAAGTCACTGTTTGAGGTGGGCTTCCTGGTTATCCAGTGGTACATGTACGGCTTCAGCCTGTCTGCTGTTTACACATGTGAAAGGTCTCCGTGTCCCCATAGAGTGGACTGTTTCCTGTCTCGTCCAACAGAGAAGACCGTGTTCATCATCTTCATGCTGGTGGTCTCTCTGGTCTCCCTCCTGCTCAATGTCATTGAGCTTTTCTATGTGTTTTTTAAGAGAATTAAAGACCGTGTGAAGGGAAAACAGCAGCCTGCACTGTATGCCAGCGGAGGAACTTTGACCCCCACCCCTAAGGAGCTGTCCACCACCAAGTACGCTTACTACAACGGCTGTTCCTCCCCAACTGCCCCGCTCTCACCAATGTCCCCACCAGGCTACAAGCTCGCCACTGGAGAGCGAGGAACTGGTTCGTGCCGTAATTACAACAAACAGGCCAATGAGCAGAACTGGGCCAACTACTCCACAGAGCAGAACCGGCTCGGCCAGAACGGTGCAGGAAGTACTATTTCAAACTCCCACGCACAAGCCTTTGATTTTCCTGACGATACCCACGAGCACAAGAAGCTGCCCCTGTCAGCAGGACATGAACTGCAGCCTCTGGCTTTGATTGACGCGAGGCCATGCAGCCGTGCCAGCAGCCGCATGAGCAGCAGGGCCAGACCAGATGACTTGGATGTGTAAACCCTGGTGTTAGCCACGAAGACGAGCGGCTGCAGGCACGAAATCAGGCATTGCTTGATTACACTATTTGTTTGAAAGGTGGGACTAACCGCAATCTCTGTCATCAGTAGACAAACTGTCGTTCACGGAGACGTCAAACTACATTAGGTAACTCTTTGAAGGTACAGGGTGCACTTACTTTGTCTTGGAATATTTCAGGAACCTTTTAGCAGCCATAGTGTAATGTTAGGAGGAGAGTCACGTGAAGTGTTTGTAGGGTCACTTCAGTGGGTAAATGTTCACAATTAACAAATCAGAAGCAGGTTTTCATAAAACACCTGACTTGAAAAGTGAGAGCTGAGACCAGAAGTTCCAGATCTTCACTGTGGGAACGCTTCCATCTTCAAGCGCTTCATATATATTTATCATCTGCTCTCAAATACTCCAGAGTATCCAGATAATTCATACATAGAAAGACTTCTGATTATCTGAATATTAGACATCTCATTTATATATACACACACATACAT